GGTGATGATTACAGAGGACAATCCCACAGACAGATCTTTGATTCATATATTTTGGAGGTCTTCCATTCAGCAGTTTGGGAGCTCAGATTATGGAGATCATGGAGCTGCTGATTGGCATGTTGCCAGATATTCCGACTGCACTGCATCGGCCAATTGTGATGGCACCAGCTGGGCACATTCTCATTCTGCAGATTCAGCAGCCAAGGTGTGCTTGTCACCTCAGCAGCGCTATCAACAGGCAGATTTCTGGGAACAAAGTTGTTGAATGGGACAAAAACACAGTGTTGGCACTTCTTGTAAAAGTGTGCAACTGTTGCCAGTGTCTTATCATGTTTTACCATGTCTTACCATGTTTCCTTATGGTTCCTCGTGTTTGTCCCGTCATGCCTGGCCAATAGATTCGCATGCATCATCATGCATCCTTTTGACTTATGACCCGTCTTGTTGTCTTTGGTGGTTGCATGTTGCCGCCAAGTAGTAATTATATATCCATGTTTGGGTGATTCCTGCAGCCATTACCGCAAACACTTTGTTATTCTGAGTGTCCATCCAGGCTAGCCCGGTTCGAAGCCGGCAGCATGTCCAGCGGCAGCCTCAACTTGTTTAATGGTGACATGATTTGCACGTATGGAATCTAAGATAAAACCTCAAGACTCAAGACCACGACAATCTTTTTTTGAGCGGTCATTCACAGCTGTCCCGACAGTCTTGATGCTTTCTGGCGGTTGAACTCCGATCGATGGGGAAGCTGTTTCAGTGAATGATATAGAGATCAATAGGTCAATAGGTATAGTCTGGGATAGTCTGGGCATATACATATCATTGATAAATCATATACAAGAATTTATAATTATGACATGAACCTTGCAAACAGGCATGTAGAAGTGGACAGAGATGAATCAACATGCAATAGGTTCGCAGGTTGGTCATGAAGCTGGCAAGGCAGCGTGGCCCGATGATGACTGCATCCGCTCCATGTGTGTCTCACATGAAACCTGGGGTCGTGCCACAGGCACGTTGACTCGCGCAATGATGAGCAATGCCTTGACACCAATCAAACCATGGACAATATTTGGAGATATGGGCAGTGTGGATCATGACATATTTGAGATCATTCTCCACCGATGTACGTTGCTCTTGGGCTTCTTGCTACCCAAACCTGATAGGTTTTCCATCAGCGCGTTGCTCCGGTCTATGCTCCGCATGCCCGTGCGCCTCATGCTGCGCCTCATGCGCCTCATCCTCATCCTGCAGTGCGGGCCCTCACCCAGATCTGGAATTTGATGAATGGCTTGCATCAGCTTGCAGCTTACCCAGCAACAATTCTAGGTCATTCTAGGTACAATTATGTGAGTAAACAACAAAATTATACAATTGTTTTTGTAATACAAATTACCAATTTCTAATTTAGTTTTGTTTCGCCTTCGACTTGCTGAGAGGTGCGCAAAACATTTTACCGATAATACTGATATGGGATGGGACGACCCTATATCGCAACCTGTTTTGTATGAGTCGCCTCAGAGTCCGTTCTTTGGCTTGACTTGGTCAAATTGCACCCCCGGAACTACTGATAGCCTATACCGAATACCGATACCGAACCGATACCCCGAATTGCGATTGTGTTCTGGGAACAGGGTATTTCTAATTTGGTCTATGGGCAACTACTGGTAGATTTTGTATTGGTTAATCGCTCCTTCTTTTCCTCCTCTGCCTCCTCCTCATCCTCCTCATCCTCCTATTTCTCGTCTCTTCTTCCTCTTGCTCCTCTGCCTCTTCCTCCCTCCACTTCCTCCTCCTCCTCTTCGTCCGCCATTGTTCATTCCCTGTCCAAATTGAATCGGCACGTTTATATTGCCCATTGGGTTGGCAATGTTTGTCATTTGCTAAACAGTTAGGGGCAACTGTTGAATTCAACACGGGACTGCAACTCTTCAGCGGCTGTAAAGTTCCCATTGCGACAGTACTTGCTTTGTACCTGTGGACTTGAGATTGGTTACTACTCCCGCCCCACTTGAAGTCAAATGAAATGTCCTGGAACATGTTGGGAATTTTCTGGTTGCCTCTGACCACGGAAGCATCTAAGACTTGAGGACCCACATCATTTGGTACTCGTCCAGTTCCATCAGGCCCCATGCGGCAAACAAGTCTTCGTGGCAAGAATGCCGGAGGCAGGAATGTGGTCGCAAGATGTCGCAAGTCAGCATTCGGATTGAAACTGTGGTGAAACAGTGAAACTGGCTTGGTATGGAACTTCAGAAGGAACGATAAATTTGAGGCACAATGCAGGCAAGATAGGACTGCCGGATGATGCCAAAAGACTTAGTTTCGTTTTTTGTGCCAGCTTGAGAGAACCGAAGAGAAACTCTCCAGATTTCACAGCACATGAGGAGGATGCGATGTTATTTATGTTATTACATGACTCAGACAGCCCCAAGTGTTTTGGTGTAGGCATTTGGCAAGAGCAACATGATGAGACCCTGCGCTGGGGAGCGAAGCTTAGTGGAATCCTTCATCATGTTTCTTTCGGTTGGTCTCGAGTTGCGGGACGCGATTTAGTCACGAGATGCGCTGTGCTTTTGTATGCTTTTGCCACTTCCTCCGGCCGGAAAGAAAATTGTGCAGGCGTTTATGGCCTAATTATTGGAATATCCTTGCCAGATCAGGACAAATACTTTGAGGAAGATCGATTTTCTTCGCATATCATATTATGTTCATTTACGTTCATTTATGTATATTGAAATATGCACACAAATCGTATTATAAATCGTTACTTTATCTGTTCTTATTTGATGCATTTCTTTTCTTGCAAGGATTCAGGTGGTAAAATTGTAGCATAGAGGTAAAGAGAGACTGTACTACACAAATCAATGCGGCGAATTGACCAACACTGTGAACCAATGAGATCCAATGACATGCAAGGCGGCAGGATCACACTCCTGACTCGTGACTGAGGGTCCAAATCGGAAATGAAGCTGCCGGCGCTATCCAGCCGGATCCCTCAGAATGGATCAGGGTGCATGCCTTTTGGCCCAAAAAATCTCTCGTGACAACATGTGGCATGTGTGCAAAAATGTGGAAGGAGCTCACTAATTTTGTTGTAATTAATTACGGTTTGGATATGTTTGGATGGCTTTGTGGGTCTGAGTGAGGGACGTCAGGCAGAATCGGCTCAATAGCTTCTATCCAGGAATTAAAATATAGGTCGAAGCTGATTCAGTCTGACACTGATTCAGGCCCACGCGACTGGGAGTACAAAGCTTCCCAAACAGCATCCAAACGGCCACATGACTCAGCGATTCCCAGCTTTCAGGCAGCAACTTGCGCTGGTGGCGCTGGTGTGAGCAGCTTTGCAATCAGCATTCAGCCCACGCCGTTGAAGGCTGACGAACAAGACCAGGGTTGGACAAATTAGGTGCAGGCGACAAATCATCGCCCTTGTGTAGAAAAGCTCCCAATGCTGAGCTGTCAAAGATTTGGGTCTCATTTGTGGACTATTTCAAGAAGAAATGTACACTGCAATCAAAGGGTTCAAACCCCTGGTTTCCCTCAAGGGGCATTGTAAATTATTCTGACGCTGAGATCTGAACAAACATTGTGACAACAAAAGGTTTCTTTTGCATCCTTTTGCACTTTCACAATCACGAACGCCTTTGTGGCTGCATACGAGTCCAAAACATCCAAAACCCTGCCCAAATCTTTGTCCGTATTGTCAGTATGTGCTGCGCACAACTGGCAAGCCACTTGGTCTTGCCAATAGGGTCATTAGGGCCACATCATTTGGTTTGGCCATTAGGGAATCAAATTCGTGCCCTTATGGTGCGGAACAGCTTTGTGGCTCTTGCATCCTTCCATAGAGAAGGCTTCACCGGAACATGGATAGGTGGACAGGTGAGATGCTGTCGATATAGATCGAGATAGGCGTGTTACTGTAAAAATTGTCATAATCTTGCAATGATGTGCTGCAGGGATGTGTTCACATCATTTCACATCTATTTCTGTTCTACATTTTGAGGCTGCCACTTTGCGTTGCAATCATAGCGTCAATTTCGAGGAAGCTCTGTGCGTTGTGGTTGGGGTAAGGCGTTTTTGCAAGACGCGGCTTGAGAAATGCGGCGGGGGTGTGTTGAGCAGAGCTCGATCGAGCTCGGCTATGCTCAGCTTGGAGCGCTGGATACCAATTTGAGCACCTGGAAGGTGCCAGAAACGGAAATGCTTTTGCTATATACTGTATTTGATGCTATGTGTAGCACTCTGATAATTGTTGTTTAGTTAGCAACTAGCTGCATTGACTTAATCCACTCTATTATTTTCTGTTATTTTTGTATCTTATATGATATCAATTATTATTGTATTTATTGTTGACATTTTTATATCTAATTATTTGGGTACAAATTGTTCTAGGATGGATTTAGATCAGAGATCAGAGTTGTTTTGTTTGGCGGACTTCCGCCCGCCTGGATTATTCAACACGTGCCCACATCGTTGCAATGAAAGTGGAGGAGGAATATGATTTGTGTTCAGTGAGCGATGTGTGACAATATGTGATAATGTGTGACATGCAGCGTTGCTTATTTTGTTGGTGACATGCATGGAAGTTCCGCGAGCAGCGTCCTATCGTGCCTTGCTTTGGCTCGTAGCTGTAGTGGTTTTGAAATCCCCACCTGAGGCCCACCCAGCCACACAGCGCTTCACAGCCCTTCACAGCCCTTCACAGCCCCTCACATCCTCAGCCAACACACCCCCCACATCCGAACACACACACACACACCTTCTGAGCTTTTCTCACGAACAATCAGCATCAATCAGCCGACCACTTTTTGAGACTAGTCAGGGCTGGAACATGGAGTGTTTGCTTCCTGAATACTCTTTCCTTAGCGGTCTGAACCGGTGACATCCAGTGACGAGACTCTGAGAAGGAAACCTCTGTGAAGTAAAAACACACGCCCGCGATATGTGATATCCCTTGATCTTTGATACGTAGATAGCTCTTCGCTGACGCCATGGCCGCAGAGACAAAGCTGCAGCGTGAAACACGCCTCACGGGAAATAGTGACCTGGTGTCCGGGCACTCAAGGGGCACATGCAGGGCAAGTTGCGTAAGTTGCGTCCTATCGTCAGCATTTGCATCGGAGGCCAGGTCATCTTCAGTAGAATCGTAAAAACTCTTTCGTCATTTTTCGTCCATTTTTGTTTTTTGGCAACCCTGTTCGCTTACTCTCAGTGATCGTGTAGGACTATGCCGGTGGAGGACTTGACTTGATTTTCCGCTATCCAAGGTCTGCCATCGATGCAACGCTTCAGGTGGCAGGGATCTACACCAGTCAGGGTTTCAGCCCCAACGAAGCCCCAACGAAGAATGACAACTATATGTCCCCCTCCACCTATGTATTCTTCCATCAATCCAGATATGACAGACCCGGAATTGGCAAGCTAGGGTGCTTGATTCATTAACTGCCTCGTTCTTCCTCCCACAACCAATTGCACGCAGGCAATGTTGGGGCAAAAGCCCAACTCCGTCCTTGCAAGAAAGGTGCAGTTGTTGGGCTTGCTAGAGGGAAGGCAGCTGCAAGTGCCTATGTACATACAAAAGCCTCCTTGAATTTAGCTTGGTCTCACCACAATCTGCAACCAAACATCTGAGTCTGTCGCGTTTCTTGGGTCTCTCACTTTTCGAGATGTGCTATAGCATGCTATTGCATGTGTAGCTCTGTTCAGATTGGTGTCGCTCAACTTGTGGTTACTTTGTCGCCAGGTAGTTGGCCGCTGGTGCCAATCAGCAAATGCCGGGACCCAGTCTTGTAGCGGTTTTGGTCATTTGTACCTGTTCATAACAATATATAACGATCCATGGCGACAAATTTGAAAGCACCCAGATTCACCTCCCACACACTGTATGTATTATATTGTAATATATAAATATATATATAACATTATAGAACTGTACTGTAGATTTGCTTCACACTTGTTCAGAGCTGTGTAGACACGATGCGCATATGTATCGTGTATAGAACGGGCGATACGTGGAGACTTCACGATCCTTGACAGTCATCCATCAGAAAAAGGCGGCATCAATGGATTTGAATGACAATTTGAAATAATTTGAACGTGTTTGATTGGATCACCGAGGCTCAGGAGTTTAAAGAGAAGATCAGGGACTACTTGGGTCGCCTGGATGAACAGGTACGCTCAGCAAACCCCTAGGGCCCTATCACTGCGCGATGTACTCTTGTCATGCCTGCACTTGTGACTAGCCGGTCTGAGATGCCATCGTGAGATTTTATCTAGGTCGCATAGGAATACTTCGGACATGTTGGGACCCTGGCTTTGCTTGGCTTTTGGATCTTTTGGGTGCTTCTGGGACTTGGTGCTTTCACTATCTTTCACTACTTGATTTATGATGTTTACACTTTAACTAGAAATTAAAACCGAGGACCAGTATTCTCTGACAGCTCCAACTGTTGCAGGTTCTGCTAGGCTTCTACATGACGATCCAGCGTCGTGTCGACTCTTGGCTTTCAAGTCTGAGACTTTCGCACAATGCATACAGCACATTGCAGTACACATCAGTACACTCGAATCAGAAGAATCAAACCCTCAGCAATCAATAGGCATTCATCATTCGTCATAGTTTTTCCATGTTTTTCCTTGCTTCACGGGGTCGCAGGGTTAAAGGGCTGGCTATGGCTGGCTATGGCTGGTTGACAGATCCAAGGAAATGATGGAAGCAGGACCTGCACGGGATCCTAGGCATTGGCAAGAAAGCAGGACTATGCAGGACTATTCAGTATAATGATGTATAGTATATTTATAATGAGGAATAATTGGATGTATACATGACTATAATGATGTATAGATATTAATATGTAATGTGTGTACTCGCACTGCCTACTTGTCATGACTCATGACCTATGAGAGTTTGTTCAGCAGTTTAGCTTGCAAATTGCCACTTCATCTACCTCTCTCGGCAGAGTAGCTGGTCAACATCGTTGGTCCGGCTTGGAGAAAGCAGCTGCACATCAAAGAAAACACTTTTGCAGCATACATGCCTAAAGCTTTTCGGCTCGCTTTAGAAATGCATGTTTGATTTCAACTCTTGCATACATGCATGACAGGTGGATCTCTACCCTTCGATGTGTTAAGATTGTGGACGGCGATATTTGCGGGATGCACTTGAGTTCTTTGTTTGGACTATATATATATATGATTGTATTCTTGCGTTTACAGTGGATGAGCGGTCCCCACGCTCACATCGCACTTGGAAAGCGTGGGCACGAAGCAAGCACAATGGGCAATGCAGCAACCGGCAACTGCGACACTGAAAAGCGGCGCTGCCTTGATGTCAGTGAATCGACAGGCCCGGCCCCGTGCCATCCCGTGCCAACGGCCACCGTTTTCTACAGTGGATAGGATTGCTCTTGAGATTACCAATTGATGGTCCTTAATCGGCAATGGACAGCAGTGGACACGGTTTGCAGTGCATGAAAACAAACTGACAATTTATGCGTGTGATGCAACAGGGACTTGCTGTCATTTGTTTATCCTCATGCTGACTTATGCTCATCGGTATCAATAAATTTTCTCCTGGCATCGTCCTCTGACAGAGCTATGACATCTATGATGCCAAGCCTGCTTTGCACAAGAGAGCAGTATGAGAGCAGTATGATGAGTTGAATTGTGCTGGGCACAGTCATGACGGGTGATGTTTACCGATGCTTGGGGATTTGTGAGCAGTTAGTAGGTCCGAGCTCAGGAGTCAAATCAAGATCTGCTGCTGCCAGTGTCATCACCGTGCTTAAGGACCTGACAGCTGTTTTGTGAATTTTTGTGAGCCCTCCATGAGCTGCTTCTTAGATCGCTTAGATTCTTCCCAGAAACCAGGACATCGATGCCGCTGTTTGCGACTCCCGGGATACCTTGAACATGTCCTACCTTTTGGAGCCACTTGGCTTTGAGCGAGCATCAAGCTCTTTCAAAAATTCAACGGTTCTTTTGTGTGCTTTTATGACATTTTAGTTATGACATTTTATGATTTTATGTTTTTTTTGGAGAGCTTGTGGTGAGGTGCTAATGCTGGTGGTTATTGTCGCCTTCGTTTTTGTCCGTGGATGTTGATCGCGTCCTTGCAGCTGTCTTTGTGGTTCTTATCGCATTTTGCATCCTCTTACAGCAGTTCCAGCATGTGAGGTGGATGGATGCCACAAGCTGCTTGGCTGCTGAACGACACTGCGGACGTTCCGCAGTAACTTTGGCCTGGGCCTCAGTGGTTCCGCCTGGCAAATCTGGCAATTTCCGTTGCGGCGCAGTGAAAGGTTCAGACATAATTGACCAGAACTAACTGAACTATATAACCTGTTGGTTTGGCATGGTTTGGCATTTTTTTTCGCTGAAGAAAGTGTCGGCACATGTCGGCACCAGGAAGGACAGAGACCCTGAGAAATTCTATGCACTTAAAAGATCTTAAAAGATCATATAGAGGGGCTTGGACTTCTTGGGTTTTGGTCCAGGTAATGGATGACTTGGACTTCACCGAGAACTACTGTGCATTACTGAAACGAGGTGGCTTTAGCTGCTTTTATTTGCTTTTGATCACTTTGCACAGGAGTACATCACATCAAGCAGCAAGTTGGTTTCCAGCTTCCAAGCATCACATATGATAACATCCGCACATATCACCGCCAGGTGAGCGCTGTATCCTCGAGGGAAAGGCTGAGTGCCAAGTTCGTCGGGCAACGTGATAGATTTCCATAGATTCCATAGATTTCCCATGCTTCCTGGATCTTCATTGCCTGGAGGCCAATGATATTTTGAGACATCTTTAGACTCAGACCTCAAAAGGATCCAAACGTTCATTTAATTCTGTATTTCCGCATATTTCCGCAATAAGTTCTTATGATAGATAAATGGGCGTTTTTGTTTTTAAGCCGCTTTAAGCCCTTTAATTTTCATCAAACATTATCATGGAGGTTGCACGGGCCAGGTCACCCGAGCCTTCGGAAGTTCGCTGGAAGTGGTGGTTCGCATCTCCGTGGCGGAAGTCCATAGCGGCACCTTACGAATGGCACCTGGGATGGCAACGGTCTTCATGGTGAGCCTGCTGCTGCTGCTGATGATGATGATGATGATTATGATATTTATATTTATATATAATGATATTTAAATGATATTTAATGATATTTAGTGATATTTAAATATATTTTATTTAATTATTTTGTGGTTTGTGTTTTTTCCCTCTCTCTCTCTATCTCTCTCTCTCTCTATATATATGTATGTATGTATGTATGTATGTATGTATGTATGTATGTATGTATGTATGTATGTATGTATGTATGTGGGTATATACATATGCAGTTATACACATTCGATGTATTTTTATGTTGGAGTCCATGTTGGGTGGATAGTCATTGGAGTCATTTTTGTAGGCTTCCCGGACCGCAGTTTGAAACTGCAGCGATTTCCATCTGAGGTTGGGAATGCATACTTCATGTATGTGGTCCTGAAGACAGAGGCTGAGAAGGCGGAATTACGACGAGAAGACGGGGCTGATATCCATCCTTGGTCCACATTTCAGTCATTTGGGGCTGAGAAGACACACGGACTTTAGCATGTTTTGATTGCTGTTATGAATTCGCTGGATCCAAGATCAAAGGTTCGCATTGTTTTTGAAATGATTTGTTGAATCTGTTGAAGTGGATATGGTATGATTGGTATGATATGGTATGCATCATGCACCTGATTACTCTCAATCTTCTCTCTCGTTTGTAAACTGGCACCTGCCTCACACAGATCTCCAGTTTCTCTAGGTTCCGTGGCTTGATTGTTGGTGAGTGCGCATGATTGCGCCATACAGGCAGGACACATCAAGGTGGAGGTGCCGACGTTGGTGCCAAGCACTGCTGAGGAGGTCTTGGAATACGGCCTGGCGGAACGGAGAAGGCCTGTGATTTCAGTGAGCGTTGCTTGATCCCACTGCCACTCTTCAAATCCATTTCACTCGATGCCG